GCGGAAGGATCAGAAAGGTTTGTTGCAACTTGGTTTAAAGTGCAGGTTAGGGGCTTGTTTTCTCAATTTGAATGAAAAGAAGAATCTCCTTAGACTCAGTGTTTACCACTGAGCTCCCAAAGCAGGATTGCTGCCCCAGGCCACCTTCTTTGTTAGGGTGCTACAGCTCTGAGCTTGTGTGAGTGGCTTTGCCTGGCCTTACCCCCTGTTGTTTGGGGTGTTTCTCAGCTCAAAACAATGTGACAGCTCAAGAATCTCTTCAGTGCAGAGTTGTCCTGCCCCTCTGGGCTTGTCTGTCAGGGTCTGTGGGAGCTGAACCACTGTGAGACAGAAGAGATGCTTTTGAACCTGTTGTCTTCTGCGTGCCAGCACTCTGGCACAGCCAGCCTGTACGATTTCCTTCCTCCCTAGAGGCGGTGCTGGCGTTCTCGGTGACGTGGAATACGAACTCTCGAAACTGCCACGAGGCTCAAGCTGTCCTTGAAACCCTCTTGAAGCACGAAGCACCGGACAACCTCCTGCAGTACTCGGGCATCAAATCTGCTGTGGAGTCCCTGCTGCCTTACACCGGTGGGTCACGCTGCGGGGACGGGCTGTGACCTGACATCTCCTGTGCTCTGAATATTCCCCCTTTGCCTTGATCTTAAGAGAAGGGAGGTTTTTCTCCCCGTTTTGGTGAGCTTTTCTGTGATGCTAATGATTGTTTCTCTTTGCAGAGCGCCACTTTCAGAGGCTGAGCCGTTTGTTACAGGCTTCCATGTTCATCGATTTCATGTGGCAGAACATGAGGCTGGCTGACACAGCCCAGCAGGAAGACATGGCTTTGTGACCTTCCTCCCACCAGTTGCTCTTTCTGGAGGGGAAAGCCTGAAGTGCCTTCCCATCAGGTACAGCAACTGGACTATTCCTGTATTTTATAATAAATTTTTCAAATTTGAATTTCTAAAACAAGTCCAGTCTCTTTAGGGCTTGGTGCGAGGGAAGGGATCGTTCCTCTGGCCAAGCTGTGGTTTCCTTTTCTATTTTCACCCCCTGAATTTTCAGGCTCTTAAATGGCACTTAGTTTGAAGAAAAGGCAGAACCTGGCTCTGAACAAGCATCTGGTCTTTGCTGTGGATTTACAGACTTTCTGGAGTTGGGAGACACTACAGGCAATGCTGTATCGTATCCCAGAGCCCAGCGAGGCAGGTGTAGGGATCAGTGTTGTGTCACTGGATATTTTCTTTGCTTGGGCAGAACACAGCCTGGGCCAAGGCAGGTCTCACCTCTGCCTGCCCTGAGTGTTGGTGCCTGGGAGGGAGATAATCACAGTTTTAATTCCCCAGCTGGCAAGTTTTTGAAGTATAAAAAACAAGCAGCCTTCATAGATATTTACATGTATTTTATTTTAGTCTCTCAAATAAATGTAATAAAACGTATAAAATTCAGAACAACATAAACACCTCAAGTTAAATTGCTTGTTTCAAAAATATTAACAGATACCTAGGAGAATAACTAAAATTAAAGATAGAAATCTATATAAAAGTCTTAAGTTTTCCTATAACTATTTTTCTAACTCTATTCTAGAAAATGAGTTTAGGATGAGAATTGTTAGTTTCAGTAACTACCAGATCCCCTTGAAAGGAGAATATTTTGTTCATAAAAATGACTCTGCCCCTGTTACCCAGTTGGGAAACAAGCTGTACTACACCCGCTTTTGTTTCTGTGCCTGCACAGACATCTTTGTAGGAAATAATCAGAGATGAGGGTCCCAGCCACCAGGGCTTTTGTACTGGGCCATTTGGCAGATCCAGCCAATTTGTATATTTGATGGCCAGTTCTCCGCTACCAAATATGACCTAACCTTTAAACCCACCCCTCCAAAACCCCAGACAAACACCAAAAATCAAAGAGTTTTAAAAAAATAATACATAAAATACAATTAATACATAAAATAGGTGGTTCATATGAATGATATTCAAATGGCTGCAGCATCCCATCTCTGCCCCATACTCTGTCACTTCCTCTGCCCAGGTGTCTCTCTGCAGGGTGGCTGTGGTGCTGACAGCTACCCTGCTGTGGGGAATAACGCAAGGACGATGGTGACACTGTCACACACTGCACCGTGGGACAAATACCTGGCCCGAGGGAGAACTGAATCCCAAGTGACCACTGACTTACAGAGGAGCTGCCAGATCCGCAGGTGCCTTGGCTCCCCTGATGAGTTAAACCACTAAATCCCCCGACTCCAGTAAAGCCCCTCCTGGCTCCCCGACCTCCCGGTGTGAGCTGCAGCACCGGTCACTGTTACCCAGGGCAGCAATGTTTGCATGCAAGTTCTGTCAGGATCTATTTGTGTCCTCGGAAAGCAACAAGTCCCAAGCCCTGACGCTGCCCACACCACTGCCCGGGTTCCTGTGATGGGTCTGTTAGGCATAACTCTGGGTTTGGGCTGGGTTTCTTTTGCCGTACTGTATATCCCCAGTTGATGTTGTAAAAGGAACAGCAGATGGGCCTTAGCATCCTGCCCAGTGCTGGTCTTCTGGAGGGGTTTGGAGGGAAGGTACAAGTTGCTGGATTTAACACTGAAATTACTTGACCTGGAGATCCTGCTGTAGAAAATGATTTCCTGATCACTTGATGGCTAAATAAAAATTAATCTGTATTTAAGCAAGATTTGACAAAGTTATATTCTGGTTTTTTTGTTGTTTTTTTTTTTTTAGGATGTCACTGAAATTGAAGAGAAAGAGGCACAAGCTAAACAGGAGGAGCAGATTCTGAAGTAAGTTGATCCTGTGCAATAATGAGCTGTGAAAGGCAAACTCTGTCCAGTGAAACTGTCGGCACCTAGAGCCATCCAGCTCCATCTAATCCAAATATCACATCGTTTAGCTATTTAGAGGCTGTCAGAGCACAATAGTCTCTTCTTTGTAGTTTATCTTTAGTTCCTGCAAAGCCTTGCTATAATTCTGTCACCTTGACAATTGATTAGTTTCTTGTTTATGCACTGCTAAGATAAGCAAAGTCAAACTGCCAAAAGCTACTTTCACTTTCTCCTGCTTCAGCCAGCACTGAATAGCTCGGAGAGCTCTTGAATGTGCCAGGGTAATTATCTGCACAATGAGGGCACTGAGGCATTAATTGGCAAGTCTTATTAACTTCTTGGCATTAAACCTCTGCGCACTGTGGTTGCCAAATCTGCTGCTTTCTGTATAGCAGTTTTTTCCACCAACCAAATATTTATCTCACTCTTTTGACCCTGATTTGTTTTCTAGGGAGCAAGAGCTTTCTAACCTGCTTCACGAGAAAAGATACCTCAAAGCTTTAGGGTTGGCCATCTCTCTGGATCGTCCGCACACGGTGTTGATGGTGGTCAAAGGTGAGTCCACGTTGTGCTCTGAAGGTGTTTTTCTGCCCTTTCTGCCTTCTACTCTTCCAGGTAGGCAAAGTCTAGAAAGTCTAATTATCTGAAAGTCTCAGTTTTCCCTTTCTCTGGTGGCTCCTGTTTCCCTAAGTGAAGTTGCCCTTGATAACCAATGGTGTCCCTGCTCTCAGTGCCTGAGCCAGACTCCTGCATCAGCTCTTCATTTCTCTGTCCCACAGCCATCCTCAAGGAAACTGACGGGAGGAAGCGCCTGGAGGAGAACCTTGTTCGGCTGCGGAAGGATCAGAAAGGTTTGTTGCAACTTGGTTTAAAGTGCAGGTTAGGGGCTTGTTTTCTCAATTTGAATGAAAAGAAGAATCTCCTTAGACTCAGTGTTTACCACTGAGCTCCCAAAGCAGGATTGCTGCCCCAGGCCACCTTCTTTGTTAGGGTGCTACAGCTCTGAGCTTGTGTGAGTGGCTTTGCCTGGCCTTACCCCCTGTTGTTTGGGGTGTTTCTCAGCTCAAAACAATGTGACAGCTCAAGAATCTCTTCAGTGCAGAGTTGTCCTGCCCCTCTGGGCTTGTCTGTCAGGGTCTGTGGGAGCTGAACCACTGTGAGACAGAAGAGATGCTTTTGAACCTGTTGTCTTCTGCGTGCCAGCACTCTGGCACAGCCAGCCTGTACGATTTCCTTCCTCCCTAGAGGCGGTGCTGGCGTTCTCGGTGACGTGGAATACGAACTCTCGAAACTGCCACGAGGCTCAAGCTGTCCTTGAAACCCTCTTGAAGCACGAAGCACCGGACAACCTCCTGCAGTACTCGGGCATCAAATCTGCTGTGGAGTCCCTGCTGCCTTACACCGGTGGGTCACGCTGCGGGGACAGGCTGTGACCTGACATCTCCTGTGCTCTGAATATTCCCCCTTTGCCTTGATCTTAAGAGAAGGGAGGTTTTTCTCCCCGTTTTGGTGAGCTTTTCTGTGATGCTAATGATTGTTTCTCTTTGCAGAGCGCCACTTTCAGAGGCTGAGCCGTTTGTTACAGGCTTCCATGTTCATCGATTTCATGTGGCAGAACATGAGGCTGGCTGACACAGCCCAGCAGGAAGACATGGCTTTGTGACCTTCCTCCCACCAGTTGCTCTTTCTGGAGGGGAAAGCCTGAAGTGCCTTCCCATCAGGTACAGCAACTGGACTATTCCTGTATTTTATAATAAATTTTTCAAATTTGAATTTCTAAAACAAGTCCAGTCTCCTTAGGGCTTGGTGAGAGGGAAGGGATCATTCCTCTGGCCAAGCTCTGGTTTCCTTTTCTATTTTCACCCCCTGAATTTTCAGGGTCTTAAATGGCACTTAGTTTGAAGAGGCAGAACCTGGCTCTGAACAAGCATCTGGTCTTTGCTGGGGTTTTATAGACTTTCTGGAGTTGGGAGACACTACAGGCAATGCTGTATCGTATCCCAGAGCCCAGCAAGGCAGGTGTAGGGATCAGTGTTGTGTCACTGGATATTTTCTTTGCTTGGGCAGAACACAGCCTGGGCCAAGGCAGGTCTCACCTCTGCCTGCCCTGAGTGTTGGTGCCTGGGAGGGAGATAATCACAGTTTTAATTCCCCAGCTGGCAAGTTTTTGAAGTATAAAAACCAAGCAGCCTTCATAAATATTTACATGTATTTTATTTTAGTCTCTCAAATAAATGTAATAAAACGTATAAAATTCAGAACAACATAAACACCTCAAGTTAAATTGCTTGTTTCAAAAATATTAACAGATACCTAGGAGAATAACTAAAATTAAAGATAGAAATCTATATAAAAGTCTTAAGTTTTCCTATAACTATTTTTCTAACTCTATTCTAGAAAATGAGTTTAGGATGAGAATTGTTAGTTTCAGTAACTACCAGATCCCCTTGAAAGGAGAATATTTTGTTCATAAAAATGACTCTGCCCCTGTTACCCAGTTGGGAAACAAGCTGTACTACACCCGCTTTTGTTTCTGTGCCTGCACAGACATCTTTGTAGGAAATAATCAGAGATGAGGGTCCCAGCCACCAGGGCTTTTGTACTGGGCCATTTGGCAGATCCAGCCAATTTGTATATTTGATGGCCAGTTCTCCGCTACCAAATATGACCTAACCTTTAAACCCACCCCTCCAAAACCCCAGACAAACACCAAAAATCAAAGAGTTTTAAAAAAATAATACATAAAATACAATTAATACATAAAATAGGTGGTTCATATGAATGATATTCAAATGGCTGCAGCATCCCATCTCTGCCCCATACTCTGTCACTTCCTCTGCCCGGGTGTCTCTCTGCAGGGTGGCTGTGGTGCTGACAGCTACCCTGCTGTGGGGAATAACGCAAGGACGATGGTGACACTGTCACACACTGCACCGTGGGACAAATACCTGGCCCGAGGGAGAACTGAATCCCAAGTGACCACTGACTTACAGAGGAGCTGCCAGATCCGCAGGTGCCTTGGCTCCCCTGATGAGTTAAACCACTAAATCCCCCGACTCCAGTAAAGCCCCTCCTGGCTCCCCGACCTCCCGGTGTGAGCTGCAGCACCGGTCACTGTTACCCAGGGCAGCAATGTTTGCATGCAAGTTCTGTCAGGATCTATTTGTGTCCTCGGAAAGCAACAAGTCCCAAGCCCTGACGCTGCCCACACCACTGCCCGGGTTCCTGTGGGCCATCAGTGAGGAGGGAGCCCGGCTCTCGGTCGTGGTGCTGGCTCCGGGCTGGGTCCGTGCCTCCCCCGTGGGCACTAGTGCACGCTGGGGAGCAGAGTCTGGAGGGCAGGCCGGGTGTAAGACTTCTGCAGGGCTCGCTTCGTCATGGTGCTGCACTTCTGGAGGATCTCGTGAGCTGAGGGGCGCACGGGCACCTTGGGGACGCAAGTGGCCAAGTCTGGGTCAGTGAGGGAGTGACTTAGATCGCCTGCAGATGACTCCACGAAGCCAGAATCGTTCCTGTCCTTGTGGGTGAGGTGTGGGGACTTGCTGCTGTCCATGGCCAATGTATGCTCCAGGGGAGAGCTCCTGGCCTGCTCGACTTCGGGCAGAGATCTTGACAATTCAGGCTTCCAGTTCAGCCGGCTGTCCCGCTCGCTGCTGCTCCCCGAGCTGAGGGATGAGCTGTCTGACTCCAGGTCTGGGGTGGAGCTGGCCCTGGGCAGAGACCTTGATCTGCTTCTGAGAGAGCTCATGTCCTCTTCAGGCTGGTCAAAGGAAGAGCGAGCCCGTACCCTGTGCTCAGCCTGGGACTGAGGAGCTGTCAGAGAGGAGGCAAGGTTTGGGGTGGAGATGTTGAGCCCGGCAGTCATGATGGTCTGGAGCTTGTGGTGAGGATTCTTGTAGGGCTGGAGGTACATGGAGGGCATGTAGCCGGTACAGCCATTGTATCTGAGGGGGAAGGATGAAAAGCAACACTGAAAAGAGCCCTTTTCCCAGCTCTGACCAAGGGGAGGGTGCAGAGCACCTGGGGGAAGAGGTAAGAACTCAGCCCAATGCTGTACATGGGCATGAGGAAGAGGAAAACCATCCCTAGCCAAGGGTGGTCAATTCAGGGAGCTCCTCTGCACCCCACCTGGGGAGGAGCAGGCAAGAAGCACCTGCAACAGGTAACTGGCTCCCTGGGGGAACAAGAGCTTCGGAAAAGCCTCCTTACCGGATCAGCCACCAGCCATCGTCAGATTTCTTGACCACCTCCACCACGACGCCATTGTTCAGCGAGAGCTCATCTGCCTTCTGAGACTCGTAGTCCCGCACAACAAAGTACAGGCTGCCTGCAGAGAGAAGGGGAGGTTGGTTTTGTCTTGTGGAGAAAATGCCACCATCCCTGTGACCCACCAGCTCAGAAGCCCTGGGGAGCAAGCGAGAGCTGCAGGACAAGCGTCCCTGAGGGTGACTGATCTGCTCAGAGACCCACAGCTGACAGTAGAGCTGATCAGAAGGGTCAGAGATCCAGAAGGGGACTCCAAGCAGTGGTTAAAGCAGTGGGGTTTTTACAAAACTCATTTTTGAAAGAAGAATGCGGTGTCCCAGGGAGGCAGAAGCAAACTTACCATCCTCGTTTGCGCTCAAGACCTTCTGCATGTCCTTGTGGGCATCAATCTCTTCCAGGTAGGGAGCTGGGAACCAGGCTATCTGCTTGTCTGCATTTTCTACTAGCCACCATCCTGCAGCAACCAGGGAAAAAAAAAAAAAAGAGGTTTTTAGCAGCCTGCAAGTAGACAGATGACCATAATCCTGGGGTAGGGGCTGCTCTGCCACAGGAGCCAGAGACAACATGCAAAGCAGCTCAGTGCCTGACGGATGCCACGCTGACACTTTGTTCTTTGATCCCGTGTAAATCTGGGTAAACACACCCCATGTACAGACACCCACACGCACCCCAGATGCTACCGACTAGGCATTTGCCAAGCTATGAATCAACCTACACCATCCATCCCTGAAACTGAAGAATCCCTATCGAACATACCAGTCATGTCCTTGATTAACACTTCAACAATTTCCTTCGTAGCGACTTTGAATTTCTGGTTCTTTGTGTCTTTGGTTTCAAAGGCTTCGATGCATCTGTAGCTCTGGGAAACCTGAGGGCGTGTAATGGAGAGCTGTGGCCCTGGCTGGTTTTTCTTCCCCCCTCCGATTTCGGATGGCATGATCACAACACTGAAAAACAAAGTTTAATATCAGTTTACTGAAAAATCACATGGAAGGTTGAGTTTAGTAATTGTTTTGTTAAAATCATCTATGCAGTAGGCTAAGAAAAGCTTAGGTATCAAAACCAACATCAACATCTTTCTGTTTCACGAAGACACATATAAACAAAAGATGCAAATATGATTTCACACCTGTTTTCAGGAAAGGAGGGATCTAGATCTTGGGTCTGTGCCTTGAAAAACCGAATCACATCTCCACCCTGGGAGATTTTAGCCTCCGTTTTCAGCAGCTCCTGGGAATAAGTTTCCAGCAGTTTCAGTATCTCCAGGCACCAGTTCATTTTCCCGCTCTTCCTGTGCTTCGCGTTTACATCTTTAAAATAACAAAAGCAAAGTTGGTGTAAGACAACAAGGGATCTGGATGCTTTGAGAGCAGCATCTTTTGCCTGAGCAGGGGTGTGCCCTCACCTACTGCCCTTCCTCACACAAGCCACAATATTTAAAGTGTAGTATTAATTTACTAGGTGCAATTATTTATTAAAATAGGCTTTCTGGGTTATTTTAAGTCAGTAATAGACCCAAGCACATAGATGTAACCCAGCAGTATTATGGCATGAGGAGTGAGCTGTTAATCTGTTCCATGGGAAGGTCAGACTCAGAGGCTGAAGTCTGTGTCATCAGTTACGACTGTCCCCAACAGGGCTGTTGTGTTTGTTGGTCCATCAGGGATTTGTTCTCCTTACCTTTAAACCTGGGTATTGTCCGGTCAGATCTCTTAATCGAGCCGCTCTCGATGGGGAATTTTCTCTTCAGCCCTTTCTAAAAGTGAGGAGGAGGAGACAATGGTGATGCTTTGCAGCCCTGACACACGGCTGGGCTCCTTCCCCTCTCCCCAGGACCAGAATCCTATTTTCAGGGAAATATTTACTTACATGGAAATTCTTGAAGTCTTCAAATGTCCGGTAGATTAGAATTTTGTTCTGATCTGACCAAGACACAGACATCATGTATTTCTGTAAAAATAAAAGGGAAAAGAGTGCATTTTTTTTAAATTAAGTGTTCAATATTGGATGTTTTCAAGCAGTTAGCATTTGCCAGGACCTCTGGCTTAGTTCTGGCTTCAGGCTGCAAGATTGTCACATGAAAAAATTAAATAAAATATAAGACCTACAAAAATATTTTCTTAATTTTAGGGCCCCAAATGGGTAATCATTGTTAAAACCAGAGGAAATTTATGACACTGTGAACAGAAGGACAGCAGAATCCAAGATAACCGTTTTCTTATGATATTAAAACCATTAAAAAACAAGTCTAAGACCCCTGTCCTAAATCACAAGGCTCTAATCCCAACACTGCGGGGAAATAAGTATAACCCTATAAGAGTAACTCAAAAATCCCTCTAATTTCCCAATTTGTAAATATTTAAGGAGAAAAAAGAAATCCAACAAAAAAAAAAATTAAATAATTCAAGTACCTTCTGCTTTCCACATTGCATCAAGCCAACAGCCTTTACATCCACTGGGTACCTGCTGGAGCTCATCTTCCCCAAGCCTGCTTCTCCTTCCCAGAGCAGCTGGAGCCTGAGCAGAGATGTGGCTCCGGGCACGAATCCTGCCCTTAAATACTCTGGAGCCGGAGGCAGGACGCTTCCTCCTCCGCCCACTAACGCGGGCAGAAATTCCGTAATTTGACAAACTACCGCGTGCCTTTTACCTGTTCCCCCCCCTCCTTTTAACATGCAAATGTTGCCGGGAGCAGAGTTCAGAGAGCTGGGGAAAAGAAGCATCGTATCTTATCACGTCCTTACTGGAATTACGCCAGTCAGAGAGCCTGGCCCTGTGCCCGGGTTCGGTTATCGTCCCTGGGTGTCGGGGAGGTCACTGGGGCAGCAACACCTGCTGTGAACCAAAGTCCATTTCCAGGGATGGATGTGTTGATGGATCGTGAGGGGTCTGGAGCACAAGTCTTATGAGGAGAGGCTGAGGGAGCTGGGGTTATTCAGCCTGGAGAAGAGGAGGCTGAGGGGAGACTTTACTTCTCTCTACAACTCCCTGAAAGGAGGGTGTAGAGAGGTGGGGGTCAGTCTCTTCTCCCAAGTCACAGGCGACAGGACAAGAGGAAATGGCCTCAAGTTGCGCCAGGGGAGGTTCAGGCTGGATATTAGGAAAAATTTTTTCACTGAAAGGGTTATCAGCCTTGGAATGGGCTGCCCAGGGAGGTGGTTGAGGCCCCATCCCTGGAGGTGTTCAAAAGACGGGTTGATGAAGTGCTGGGAGGTATGGTTTAGTGATGATGTTCCTTGTTTGTTGTGCGGGTGTCTATTTTTGTCAGTTAGGTTGACGGTTGGACAAGATGATCTTTAAGGTCCCTTCCAACCTAGAAGATTCTGTGATTCTGTGTTGTGTTTACAGCTATACGGCATGGACGTGACTGATGGAGTTGCCCACAGTTTGGGCTGCCCTCCCACCAGTCCCAAAAACCGTTTAGGAACGTGGCTTGTTGTCAAGCACAAATCAGGCACAATTCGACGTGTGTGCTAGCTGTGACAAATCCCTTCTCCTTACTGCTTTTTCCCACCTGCTAAGATACTTAGTTTTAAATGGATTTCTGGTAGCTCTATTAATATTTGCATGCTCTCAGAAATTAGTGGGAGATGCTGATGTTGTTGTAGCAAAGGATGAACAAACACGTCCCTGGGCTGTTACTGAGGAAGTCCCAAAGCTTCTCAGCTGTAAATATGTGATGGAGACTCAGCTCCAAGTGCCTGGTGCTCTGTCTTGCATCAAGCCAGGTGTCCATCCCCACCCAGGGCAACCAGCAGCTCTTCCCATGGACCAGCTCCCACTGCTGGACTGGTAATTACAGCCCTGGAAAGCCTGTCCTTTCACTGAACTGCTGCCTTCAGCGTGCCTCAGGTTATGACTCTGCTGATGGGCCTCTGTGTGATCAAACCGCCTTCTCCGTCCTCCCTCCCCCTCTTCTTTGATGAAGCCTAAATTGAATCATTATAATTATTGGAGCCCAAATTGAGAGGCTCAGCGCTGCTTTGCCTTTCATTTTCCAGTTACACCTGGTGTCTCAAAACCCTCAGCAACATTTTTCATCTACTAAAAAAAAAACAACCCAGAATCTGAAATGGAAGCCAAAGAAGATTCCTTCTGGATGGCCAGAAAACATGGTGAGCAGGGCCTCGGTTTGCATTTCATGAGCATGTGAGGCTGCTCCTGCACAACAGGATGGCAGTTTCTGGGGATAAAGGAAATGGTTTTGTGGCAGTTTGATCTCTTGCTGCGGGATCATCCCCACCCAGGGCAACCAGCAGCTCTTCCCATGGACCAGCTCCCACTGCCCGGAGGCACTGCCGGACCGGTAATTACAGCCCTGGAAAGCCTGTCCTTTCGCTGAACTGCTGCCTTCAGCGTGCCTCAGGTTATGACTCTGCTGATGGGCCTCTGTGTGATCAAACCGCCTTCTCCGTCCTCCCTCCCCCTCTTCTTTGATGAAGCCTAAATTGAATCATTATAATTACTGGAGCCCAAATTGAGAGGCTCAGCGCTGCTTTGCCTTTCATTTTCCAGTTACACCTGGTGTCTCAAAAACCCTCAGCAACAGCTGCAGGTGATTTTTCATCTACTTAAAAAAAAAAAAAAAAAAGAATCTGAAATGGAAGCCAAAGAAGATCCCTTCTGGATGGCCAGAAAACATGGTGAGCAGGGCCTCGGTTTGCATTTCATGAGCATGTGAGGCTGCTCCTGCACAACAGGATGGCAGTTTCTGGGGATAAAGGAAATGGTTTTGTGGCAGTTTGATCTCTTGCTGCGGGATGTATGGCCTCTGTTGGGAAGAGAAGGTTGTACAGAGAGCACTTTGGTCCCGTGCACGGGTTTGGTGGGAAAACCCCTTTGATGGCATCTCCAGGTACTTCCTGGCTCAGGGAGCCAGGCAGGAGCTGCCCCACGGAAGGGCAATGCAAAGCAGCTCGCTGTCCTCAACTGTCCCAGAATAGGACCCTTCATCCCTCTGTTCATATAGGGTCCAGAAAACACACGTGCTGTTAAATCTACCGGGTTCAAAAGGTAAAGTGTTATGGATGGAGAGGAAATCACTTAATCCAGCGAGTTTCTTCTTTATGATCGTTCTTATCTAGAAGCTGGCAGTTTCTGAGGCGGCAAAGCCCTTTACCAACTCCCTGTGATCAGGTCCACGCTCACAGGCTTCTCCTCAGCAGCCAAGCTGGGGCCAAGCTCACCTTTACAGGGCTTGTCGTGTGGCTCTCGGCGACTGCTGGAACCAAGACACTCAACAAAGTACATTTGGTTGGCTTCCTGTCTCACTGTAAACACAAAACACAATGTATTTCCAAGACCGTAAAGGTTTAAACATGTTTACCCTTAACAGGATAGGCTAAAGACAATAAAGATCTTGGAGGAGCTGCAATCTATGTATGCATGGGAGATGGCCAGGAGAGGTTGAGGCAGCACATTGCTCCACGTCCGCAGGTACTGCGGGTGTCAGTGAAATCACCAGCTGCTAGTTTCAAAAACTTTGCCGAATTTCACCATTCTTGGAATTCAAGCAGAAGGGCAGTGTGGAAAACGTACACGGAGATGTTACACCAGAAAGGTGAAAGGTGGAGGTCTGCAGGTCTGAAGAACCAGCCATGCAGTTTGGAGAGCTGATTTTCTGGGGGAGATTGGCTGGTGACAGGCATTTTGGATAAAGCAAAGTATGAGCAAAACTATTCAAACCTCGAGAATTAGTTATTGAGAAAGAGTGTTGTAGAAGCAAAGGTCACTGCAATGCAGAAGAGAGGGATGGGGGGAAGAATGGCCAGGCCCTGCTCAGGGTTAACGACACCTCTGGTGTCATCCCAGAGAGCTCTGCTCAGGGCTCTGCAGTTGTTATCATCGAGTATCAAGTATCATTTTCTGGTTGCTATCGAGTTTCGTGTCAAGAAACTGCCCAAGAGATTGGTTTAATGAGTCACGTCATACAGCCTAGAGTGATGCTATCCGTGAAACCGGAGGCAGGGCTGTGCCAGGTTGGATCAGCACAAGGGCTCCTCAACGGCCTAACTGCTCCTCCTTCCCAAAACCCTGACAGGTGAGGGCCACTTCTCTTGGGAAGGATGGATAACTGATCAGAAGAGACCACTAATTCCACTTCCTTGCTGGATGCGTTTGAGCACGCTTACAAAAAAGCCCCAAACCAAAGCCGTTTCCCTGATGTTACGTCAAGTTTACTTTATCTCTTCTACTACTTCCATATTATCCTGCCATAAATTGGTACCTCCTTACATGTAATCATTAACTGACGGGTAGGAGTGGTATGCCTGGAAGAAGTAAAACTCAGTCAGTATTGCTGGGCGCTGCTGTTTCATCACCAGTTATTTATTTTCATAGGCTATGAGGACAGCAGTCACTTTTTTCTTTAGCTGTTTTACAAGGTCCAAATGAGGTCATAAATTAACAAGCAATATATAGGAGGGGACTGCCCAGGTTTGACAATACCAAGGAAGGACAAGTTTCCCTCCGTATTAGCTGCAGGCGCTCTGCAGCCTGCTCCAAGAAAGTCACGTACGCCTGGCAAAGGTGGAGCTGTGCCTCCTGCTCCTCGGAGAGCATCACCACTGCCATAACCAGCTGCTCTGGGTACACAAAATGCTGTTTGTGTCACAGAAAGTGACTAAGGTATGCTCATGGGGAGTCACACCAGAGTCCCTGCCCCAAAAGAGCCCACAGTCTGAAGGATAGGGCAGGTCATCCAGTGGTTTCAGGGAGTCCCCCTGGCCACCCGGGCTGCTCCCTCTGCTATTTCCATTACAAGACCAGCTTTCCTCCACTGAGTATAAAATCTCCATCACAAATAAACACTTTCACTGAATTTCACTGAATTTCACTGAATTTTTTAGAGTTGGAAGGGACCATAGAGATCATCTAGTCCAACTCCCCTGCTGAAGCAGGATTGCCTAGAGCTAGAGCATGTTACTCAGGAGCATCCAGGCGGGTCTTGAAAATCTCCAAGGAAGGGGACTCCACAACCTCCCTGGGCAGCCTGTTCCAGGGTTCTGTCACCCTCACCGTGAAGAAGTTTCTCCTCATATTTGAGGGGTCTGCTTTTCTTTTCCTTTCAGTCTGGATCAGGAATAACTTCATCTGATGTGTTTAACCAGAGTACAGCAGGTGGGACAAGAGCCTGGACCAATCCCTCACTCCATCCAACGGGAGCCAGAAGCAGAGTTTGAGCGTGCGGATGCTCGGAGGTAGCCACAGGCAATTTGTCTCCAGCTCCAACACAGCCATTTTCCAAGTCACACAAGCAATGGCCGTGTCACAAATGCACACACACACAAAAGAGAAGGAGCCGTGTTACAAACAGCCTTTATCATACACAGAAGCCAGGTCTGGGCTGGTCAGTGACCTGCACATCTCATGGCTGCAGATGTGCTGGACTCTAAATCAGGCATTTCTCTTTCCATGCCCTGAATGGGGGGAACTGCTAGAGGTGAGACTCGCTGACCTCTTGCAAACTCAACAGGGAAAGGCAAAGAGAGACAAAATCCTCCAACCACCCTT